AGTTAGGTCGGAAAACAATACCAAGATATCTGAATGCATTGACTCTTTTGATTGGATTGCGATCAAAATAGTGTTGACTACATTGGAAACTACTTAGAAGGCATTTTTCAAGTCAGTTATAAGCTACGAGACAAGCTTATGGCAGTGGATTTTTCCTAATAATGGAATGCAACTGTGTGTGGCTTTGAACGAGTTGGAATAAGTTCGGCGCGATGCCCTTTTTGGAACAATTGGAGGCCCCAATCAGGTTCAAGCGGTGAATAAAAAGTAACTGCACGCGAGACTAGTTCTAACCAAATGGGAACAATGATTCGCACAAGGAGCCTAATAATACCTACGGCGGAAAACGAACCAAGGACTATACATTTACGGGCTATAACACGAATAACTACATATGAGAAAGCTTCTTCAAAGAATAGACCACAGTGACAATTGGGGAAGTTATTGATTGCATATACTCCCAGTTATTCAATGAACAGTTGTTATTTACTTAGGTCCTTAAAACGGTAAGGGAAACTGAGAAAGTTAAGATAGTTTGGAGTTCGTACGCTGATGCAAGTCTGCGGTCAGAGAAACTGCACGCTACCGAGCGCGATTCCAGAACGAGGATAGGATACTAAAGTTGACAGATTGAGTTGATAGATATTGCTTTACAGGATGAGCGGTAGCAGACGGTCAGCGGAGATGTCTAAGTACGTGACATCTTGTCGGTTGCCAAGTAATAGCTCCGCAATCGTGATCATCATACAACGAAATAAAGTGAAGTGAACTTCGGTGGTCATTGCGAAAGATGCAGTGTATACAACATAAGTGAGAATGTGTAAGGTGAACAGGGATGGGCAAGGTTTGAGGGAGGGGGAAGTGAACCTTTCTGAAAGGAAATCAATATACAATGTGTTGCGACTGTGGAATCAAATACGTTAAACCAAACATTGAATTGCAAAAGCAAAATCTTTTTGATGAACAAAAGTAATATGCAATAAAACGATGTGTTATTTAAAAACGATTTGGTATCTATATCCATGAATCAAGAAGCACAGGTCAACCCAGTTGAACACTGGCAGAAGAAAAGCTGCTCTAGCTACCTAGGTTATGCATATTCCAGATACATGAAATCAGATGATCGACGACGCCATTTACGTGTTAGACGAAGTACCGGAAAACCTGTTGAAAACTGTTTGCAATCGTTATGCCGCAACAACAGCTGCAGAAGTGATTAGCCTACCTAACGTATTTACTTTTTCTAATTACACACACTTGTGTGGTAAACCGCAGAAGTGACAAATACCGTAATTACAAGGATCTACTGTTCACTCACGAAAACGGTAACCGAAGTTGAGATTTGGAGTGATGAGCCACATCGGGCCTCGTAACATGGGCATGGTATTGAACAAGACGATAGCCAAGTTGTCGACTATCAAAGCTGGGTGCGGTAGCAGGGTCCGATCCTCAGAAAGTAGTGCCTAAAGTGAGCTAATGACGACTTTAAACACTTCATCATCATTATCTAACGTGAGTTCGTTCAATCACTTCACTCACATCGTATTTCATCGATCGACTTAAAACGCTTTCAAGATCCGATAAAGACAAACACCGAAACGTTGATTTGAAAACCGCAGAATATATCAATCAATGAATCATATTCTCTAAACCAAACACCATCTACTGTGCATCCTGTTTCTTTGCCATGGTACTATCAGCTATCGGCTACTTCCGTCAGCTCTTCCATCAGTGTTTGATCTAAGGAGCATCCGAAAGACAGTAACCCACCTCGACGAGCGAATGTGCTAGGCAAATGATTACATACACCGACAGTGAAAAAAAACTAACTGTGCTTACATGATATATTTTAAAGGTTATAGAATCAGTCATTACTGATCAACTTAGGCCGCCACCTGGAGCAGAATAAGAGGCTTAGCAACTGCCGGTACGGTTTCCGGCCCCTTAGATCTACCGGTGATCTTATGGTGCTCATATTGCACACATGGTCATCAGACCTGAACCAGCACTGAGAAACCCGTTTGGTGTCATTGGATATATCGAAGGCTTTCGATCGTGTGTGGTACGCCGGTCTGCTGACTAAACTAGTTAAGAATGGTTTTCCTTCAGATATTGTGTCCAGGACAATAAGATATCTCAAGGACCGCAGCATCTCCGATCGCAATGATGGGACCATTCCTTATTCCGTGAGTGAGAATATCGGTGTTCCCCAAGGTTCTTCACTTTCCTCTTCTTGATATTCATTGATGGCTTTTTTCTTCAACCTAATATCGGTGTTCTGTTTGATGACAGTAAATTTTCCCTTATGTTCATTTCTCTTAAACACAAATCTCTCCCCTCCCCATTAGATTTTTACGCGAACGCTCTTTGTTCCACAGATTCAAGCAATCTATTGGAACTCTTTTTATCTTCTCCTTTATGGACACCATATATTTATCTACTTGCCTCTCGCGCTGCGTGCCAAATCGGCTTCGTCTTCCGCGGTAGACGTTACTTCATCGTCACTCACCTACTCTCGCTTTAGAAAGCTCAGATTCGCCCAACACTTCAATCATGCTTGGGGTATAGCTTTGTTCACCTCTTGTCTATTTCGATCGGAATACAACATAAGGCCATTCGTCTTATCAATGACCCGTCCATAACATACAACTTGAAGTCATTAGCTCACCGTCGAGCAGTCGATTCCTTATTCTAGCGATACTATACTGGATTTTGCTCTGCTGAACTTGCCTCTTTTGTCCATCTGCAATTTGTTGTTCCGCGTAATTCCCGTACACAAGCGGTTAGCCATTCATTTCCAGTGACTATCCCCAGTTGTCGCATCTCTAACTTGCAGTCATCTTTTCCCTAAGAACAGTGCAACTGTGAAACACTCTTACCCTTTCGGTCTTCTCTCCAAATTAAAACATTCTTACCTTTAAACGCAGAATCAACAGGCTGATTCTAGCTTGAATGTTCCCTTTACCCCTCTATGTCCCATCCTTGGATAATAGGATTTACCGTTTTTATCGCATTCACTTATGTAGTACATATATACAAAAAATAAGGTTATTTGATACTGTTTTCTTACTGCCGTGATGGAAATAATTAAAGAATTTGCTAACAATGAAAAAAATATGAAAATATCATTTTGATTGATGATTCAACTTCGCAATTTAATTACCTATTACGAACTTATGATTCATCAATGCAAATTCGTTCTTCAACACAGTGTAGCATTACCTTTATTTTGTTATCGGCTTGCATAACTGTTTCACGCAGAAAGGAATCGAACTCCTCACGGCCTCTGAATAGCCGAAGTCGCGACTGAGGTACCGTGCAAAGATTGAAGGAATTGACGGGTCCCAGAAGACAAACACGAAATTCAGGGACAATTGACGTCGACTTCGGTGCAAGTAATCCGCGGCAACCTTGTTGGATACCGGAAAGGAAAAAAGAAGCGTTAGGACAAAAAGTCACATGAAGGATATACATATTACAAGAAGTAGTAGGATTTAATTTTAAAATTTTCCCTGGAAGCGCATGACAGGTTTTGCAGTTCTTACTATTCGTCAAGCATACGTACTCGATAATATTTGTCAGTTCATTCATGTAATTATACCCAGGAAGTATACTTTGTGACGAACAT